CATCACTACCCTTTCATCCATCGTTTACCTAACAATATTAATTATAGCAGCTCTGACCATGATCTACTGAATTGGAAATGTTGAGGGAAAATGTTGATAGGATTTCTGGAGTATAACAAAGATGTTTTTACTTGTTTGAAGTGGAAAAGTTATGAATAAATTAAGTGTGTGCTTGAGCAAAAAATGCAGCAACATTCACTTACTTTTTTTCAGGTAAGAGACCGTACTTATATAACATTCAAACAGCTCCTTTCCCTACACATATAGCACTTTTCTACCACACACACACACACACACACACACACACACACACACACACAGATATCAGGGGCAATTTGGGGCTCAGTATCTTGCCCAAGGACACTTGGGAAACATGGACTGAAGGAGCTGCAAATCGAACTACCGACCTTGTGATTAGTGGACGAATCGCTCTATAACTCCTGAGCCATGTGTGAATCTCGCTTAAAAAAATCCCTCTAATGTTTTTTCTGTTTCTTAATAAAATGCACCTGAGCATTATAGAAACAGTGAGAAATGCTTAATATGATTTAGACAAGAACGTAAGGGAGGATAAAAAAGGTATACGAGGGGAAGACACATCAATCTAGTGCAAATACACCTCGTCTTTTCTGATATTGGGAGATTTTCGCCTGAAGGTTGGTGTTATTATTTACTGACTCCCATGAAAACACCAAAACCAACAACGTGTGAGTCCGTCTCTCAGTACTCTCTGACTTCCCCTGTTTGTGGCTCTCAGCCCCAAAACCATTGGTTCCTACTCAAGACTTAAATCTGTGTGGCCCCTCAACAAAAAAAAAGAGTGAGTGAGGGAGAGGCTCTCTCTCTCTCTCTTTCTCTCTCTCTTCTTTTCTGTGCTGCTCTTTATTCTGCTCTGCTTTCAATAGAGCCACAGCTAGCAGCACTCGCTCTGTAGGAGTCCTCCCTAGCCGCCAGACACTCTCAAGTGCATGTGTGCATGTCTGTGTTTACTTGATCTTCCCTCCCCCACTGAGCACCTTCAGCAAGCAACCATGAGTCACATATGTCAGCTCGGAAACTACACACACACACACACACACACTAACACACGCACACGCTGACTAGAGGGCATGATGACAGTGGAACTGGGACAGAATGAGACTTTTATTTGTGGTCTGAGGATGAAAAATGTCTGTGTGCCGTACCTGAATATGAGAATATAAAGGACAGAGAGAAAATGTTGTGAAGATGGATACATGTTAGAGAGACAAGCCAAGAGCCTCAGACGGCTTGATGAGACATTTCTGTCATTTTCTGACCAGCAAACTCTGTTTTTTACTCTTTTTTTCTAATCATTTATCTTCAGAGGCTGAGGCTGCAGACATAGATAAAATACCTGTGTGCTGTGCTCTGTGTATGACTGTAAGACAGCCCTCCTTGGCCTTGTTGCCAAGTGAGTGATGAGGCAGACAGAGAGGGAAGACAGAGGGCAGGACGGGAGCAAGGACACAGAGACGACACAAGCACAAAAAATGTGTTTTCTCACCTTAGTTTTGTCATCCACCACCCTGAGTCCATCAGCTGAAACCCACAACACTGCCTTGACTGTCTTTTTGCCACTCTGGGAAGAAAGAAAAGTAAAGAAAGTGAATCATTTCTAACTTGCATTGCATAGTAAATGTCCATTTCATCAAATGTTCCTAAGCAAATTCTCGCAGAGGTGCAATCAACACGTTTTAAGCAAGAAAAGACACTTTTTTTATCTGTGGTTGAGTAAAGTAATCATTAAATCCTTACAGCAAGTGAGGTAGTGGAGGAGAGATGGACAGAGTAAAAAAAAAAAAATCTGTGCCAGCTGGCACCGAGGATCATTTCTCCAGAGGAGGGCACCAGACAGAGCTAATAACACACTCAGCATGGGCCATGCTAAAAATACAGGGGCTGAAAAAGCAGCAACTCCATGTGAGTGTGGAAGCATGTGTGTGCATGAGTCTGCATATAAGTGAGTGTGTGAATAAGGGAAAGGGAGAGCCGGAGCACTGCAGGAAATGGCTTTGAAACCCACAGTGAAGTGATAAGAAGCCTCAGTTTTTTGCATAATCCCATTGAGGGGGAAGAGAGAGGGGGTGAGAACAGAGGTGAAGAAACTACAAGTAACAGAAGAAAAAAAGAGGGAGAGAAAAGCTTAATGAGAAGGTGGACCAGGGGAATCAAAAGAAAAAAGAAGAAAACTTCAGTCTAGAAAGTTTTCAGTGCGAGCAGCTGCAGAGAGGAGAGGGTGCGGCTGGAGAAAGATGCTGATAAAGATGGAAGACTGAAAGAAATAAAGTTGATCAAGCAAAAGAGAAAAAACAAATGAAAGGAAACTCAGACGTGAAAGAAAACACGAAACATTTCTCCTGTACGCCTTAAACTTAGATTCAGATCATTTTAACAGGATCTCTGTCATCTCTTTCAGAGAGCTGCCTCTTCATATATAAAGTTACATTCCTACTTGGGGATTCAGGTTGAGAATGAACTACTCTGCTTTTCATGTAACAGTTCAGATGGATCCTAGTTACAGCCGGAGCAGCAGTGGCAGAGCTGCAGATGTGCAAACTGAACAAAGTGACATAGATACCTATTTTCTTCACTGCTGGGTGCGTGACACTGACACCGGCCTGTCTGTGTCACTCTGTTCACACGCTCCCTGTCCCAGTCCGGCTTCCCAAGAGGGCAAACTATATATTGTTTCAGTGTGTGTTTACATGTGTGTGTATGTGAGCCCACGTCTCATTTCAGTTGTAGGTCCAGTGGAGAACGAGGGGAGGGAGGAGGAGACAGACAGACAGATATGGACTAAGACCCACCAGGACGGCCATGTGAGAGATTAAAGTGGTGGAGAAGAAAAAATAATAAGACAGGAGAAGGTAACTGCAAAGAGTATTGAGCGTGTGTGTGTGTGTGTGTGTGTGTGTGTGTATTCCTTTGGTCGATACTTTGGTGCACGAGCTTTGCACAGCCTGGTCTATAACAAGCTACAGCGAAGTTCGTATATAGATCCTTGGGGTGAGTATTTGTAACAGCCTCTACATAACAAAATGAATCTCCAGCACTGTAGCAGGGGAGGTGTGTGTGTGTGTGTGTGTGTGTGTGGGATACTTACAACTTTTAGCTTCTTCACCGCCTCCTCGCACACATGCATCCCTCTCGACTCCTCCACCTCCACCAAGCCCAGGTACTGCAGAGAAAAGAAAGTAAATATTAATACCCACAACCGAACAGATGTTGACGGCTTTTATTTCACCATTTTAATGTTTTAGCAGTAATCCTCATCTAACCTCTGTGTCAATTAAACAGAACTCAAAACTATGTAAAAATAAAAGAAGGAGACAATGTGACATCGAGGAAACCAAAGCCTCATTAGCTCCTCTCAGTATTACTACGAGTGCTATGAAATTGACAGGAGAGCAGCTAATAAGCAGCAATACTGGATTTACAGTCGCATGTTGCCGCTGATAATGAGGACAGGAGAGAGAGAGAGAGAGAGAGAGAAGAGGATTGGTGTCATTTATAGCCTCACATCCCGTCCTGTTGTCTCTCCAGTGTTCTGCTCGGCGGTGTACTGAGAGCCCACAGGGACACAATTAAGGCTCCCGTAGCTCCGCTCTGCCGGAGTCAGAAGCCAAGTGACGAGGAAAGAGGAAGATGAGTTTTTCAGAGTTTTTAAGGAGAGCTCTGGGTTTTGTCCCTGGATTAAAATACCCGCTGTAGCCGACGTGTGGTCGATTGTACCAAACAAGCATGTTCCTTTACGTGTGGAGAATATGATCTGTAGGCCGGGGCGTCTCTGTAGTGCCACAACGCTTCATTTATGGTGCGTTGTGATACATTTTACCTTTGTCAAAAAAGAAAATTGCTGCTTCTGTGATTTAGATATTTCATCGATAATATTTCAATCAATTGTTCAATCAACCAATGATCTTATAAGGACACTTTGGTAATTTTTGTATCTGTTTGCTTCACATAGTAAACTTTGTATTTTCCCCCCAGACGTTCAACCACTTAGCAAGTCAACTTCTCGCTCAGTATTGAGCTCTGAACACAGTTTTCTTTTCCTCTGGTACAGTTCAGAAGCTCTTGAAGAGGCATTAATAGTTCATGGCTCATGAATACATTTGGAGGGAAAAACACAGAGAAGTGAGAAAGAAGAGGCGAACAGGGAAACACAGAGGAAAGATGGCAACAATAAAGACACTGAGAGGTTTTTGTTTTTTAATGCTACCATCTCTTACTGTAAAGCTCCAAGCTTCACTTCACTGCTCGTCTCATCGTTGACTCTGAAGCATTACGGTCAGGACCATTTTTCCATTAGCCTGCTGCCGCCTTTTCCTCCACTCACATCTTTATTTCTTCCTTTTCTTTTTCTTCCATTTCCACCATCCAGTCTCTGTTTGCCTCTCTCATCCAGTTCCACATCTTTCACTTTCTCATTTCATATCTCACAGTATCTCTGTGCCCACCCCAACTCCCCCCCA